TTGGTCATCTATACTTTAAGGTGTCAGAGAAATGGTAAAAGAATCCATTTGCTTTTAATAATAGGGTATGCAAGTAATGTAGGGTATGCAAGTAATATTTTCTTATTTTTGGTAATTCAGTGTTTTAAAATATCTTATTTTCAAACAGCTATTTTGGTATATTTGATTACCTGTTTGTTCTATTTATTTTTGATATTTAATATTTTAATTGTTTCTTTGGAGGGTGTATTCAACAATGTCACTTACCAGAGCATAGTTCAAAGTAGTACTGGCTTTATTTTAATGCTGTGCAAAAACATTGCTTCAGTATAACTGTCCTATCTTCTATTTATGCTGTTGCAATGCAAACTATGTTTCTTTGGTAGACGCCTATCAATGTTCTTGAATAGCCATTGTCATATTTTCTATTCACTTATTTTTATTAGTGTTTTAGGTTATCATACTAGGTATAATGGCTTTCATCCTGGCATCTTGATGTGTATGTATGTGTGCTAATAATTTGTTCTAATTCAGTACTCTCCCTCACTGCCATCCCTCTGTTCCCTCTGAATGGCTTCTTTCCTTTTTTCCAATTTTATAAACTAAATACATAAGAAAACACTGCAAATAAAAATACAGTTCATATATGTACACACATATATACATACATATATGTGTTTGTGTATATATATATATATATGTTTGTTTGTGTATGTATATATAGTTTCCTTTAAACTACTTGTATAACTATCCATTTTCTTTCTGTTTCCATGGAAGGATTCCCTTTAATACTTTCCTAAAGCAGCTTTACTAGGAGTGCAATCTCCCCTCTGATATTTATTTGGGAAGACTGTCTTTCCAACTTCAGTTTTGACTGGGAGTTTGGCTAGTTATGGAATTTTGAGTTTATAATTTTTTCAATAAAGCAATCTCTTTCCTATTGCCTTTCGGTCGCTAGTAGTCTTAATGATTTCCAGATTTTCTTTTTCCTTTCTTTTTTTCTCTTCCTTTCCTTCCTTCTTCTTTTCTTTTCTTTTCTTTTCTTTTCTTTTCTTTTCTTTTCTTTTCTTTTCTTTTCTTTTCTTTTCTTTTCTTTTCTTTTCTTTTCTTTTCTTTTCTTTTCTTTTCTTTTCTTTTCTTTTCTTTTCTTTTCTTTTCTTTTCTTTTCTTTTTTTTTTTTGAGACAGCTTTTCTCTGTATAGCCCTGCTTGTCCTATTATTGCTCTGTAGACCAGGCTGGCCTCAAAGAACTGCACAGATAGCTACCTGCCTCAGCCTCCTAGTGGTGGGATTAAAGATGTGCACTGCCACTGCCTGGCAATTTTGACAGTTTGACTCTGATGTGTCTATCATTCTGATATATCATGAGTCTTGGTGAGCTTATCAATATACAGATGAATTTTTTCCATCACGATTCTAAACATCTCATTTTTTATATTTTTACAAATATTCTTCACTTTCCTCTCTCAACTATTTTTTACAACCTCTTTTCTTTCATTGGTACTATGTTTATTACTGTGACCTTCTTAGATTTGATGTTGATCTGACCCACCCATGGAGGGAATGAACAAAGGACAGACAGACAGACAGACACAGACACCCCGGAATCAGGTGTGATATGCACTCTAATCAAGAATCTATAATAGCAGCAGCCCAGAAACTCAGCATGTTTATTTAATCATCTGAATTTAGGAGCTTAATTTATTTTTTGAGAGTGAGGAGGTAGGTTTCCGCTAATCTCAGTAGAAGGTCTAAGGTGTAGCAGTATATGGCAGAGCAGTCTCAGTTTCAGGTTGCAGTCATCCTTTAGGAGAAAGCTATGGTTGATAGTTCCTGAATATGCTAGTCAGTCATTTCTAAGCCCTTGTACTTGGAACAGTGGAAGGTTTTACCGTATCTTCTTGTTCTTGACACAGTATCATGTACCCAGAGACCCTCTTTTGCCTAATTTTTAATCATCTCTCTTAGCCATTTGGGGTATTCTCAAATATCTTGTCTTCAAGTTCATTGATTATTTCTTGTATCAGTACATATCTACTACTGAGTTCTTTTTAGTGAATCTTTAAAATGCTGTACTATCTATAATATTTCTTTAATCATTTCAGTCCTTCATGTTACCCTTTTTATGAAGAATTGATATCATACTTTCTTTTTTTCTTCAGACATTTTTTTCAGTTTTTTCAGCATATTTATAATAGTTGACTCACCATAATTGTTTGGTAAGTCTAGCATTTGAATTTCCTCTCAGACATATTCTATTATGTACCTTTCTGGTGTGTTGAACACATTTTACTGTTTCTTTTGTTGTAAAATAACTTTATGGTGAAAACTTTGCATTGTAAATAGCATAGCTGTTTGAAATGCAGAAAATCAAATCACTCCAAGGTTAACAGTAGCTTTGATTATTGATATATTAGTGACTTCTAGGAAAATTCTGTATTGATAGTTTCATTGTTGTATGTAGTCAATTACATCTCTCTCAGTTAATTTAGTATTCAGCAAATGGTTGGACAAAGGTTACCTTAAGTTTCTTGAATTAGTTATGTTAGAACATGGACCTACCCATTCAATGGTCATTTTTAAGAGGCTGGATTCCATAGACTGAAGAGATCATGCCTTGCTTCTTTGCATCTCACCATGGAACAGTTAATCTCTCTCTCTTTCTCTCTCTCTCTCTCTTTCTCTCTCTCTCTCTCTCTCGTGCTGTGCGTTTTACAAATCCTAAGTGGATTCTAACCAGTACCTGGCACATCACAGATTCTTGTCATATAAGCAATGTTGAACCAAATTATTTCCTGCTGTTCCCTAAAAGCTTTTATAATGCTTTTGTCTTTTTTTTTTTTTTTTCCTCTGGGACTTTCTCTGGATTGTTACTTGGTGATTTTCTCTAAAGACCTTTCTCTGGAGCCCACACCACTCTTTCCTAAATTTAATTAAAACATGTTTTATTATATGTGTATTAGAGTTTTTTCATGTGTGTATGTATGTCAGTACACTACTAACATGCCTGGAGAGTCTAGAAGGTGTCAAATTCTGTAGACTCGGAGTTAGAGAAGGTTGTGAGCCACCTTGTGGATTCTGGGACTAGAACCCTCTTCTTCTGGAAGAGTGGCTTAACTGTTGAACCAGCTTTCTAACTGATTGTCTCATTCACTTTTGTGCAGGCTCTCTCTCCTTCTTTTCTCTCTTATCCCCATTTCATATGAAATTCCTCTATAGGTTTTAAAATGGTTCTTTAGGAACCCAGCCATGTTTGTCTCTCCTATGTATTGTACAATTTTCCGTATAATTCTTTCTCTCCTGCCGCACACCACGGCCCCGGTCTGTGATCTGTGCGCTAGACCCCAGTTTGCGAGCTTCGGGAAAAGGGCTGGAGGTTGCAAAGACCTTCAAACACTGGTACCAAAAGCCCCTCTTTATTAATACCATGGAGGCTTAAATACACTGCAGTCAAAGGCCAACAGGTGAAAATCCCATCCTCTGATCGTCTAAGCTAGGCACAGCTTCTAGTAACTTTAATTAGAAGGTTCTAGGAGGGAAGAACAGCTGAAGGCCAGCACTCATTAGTCCCAACATCCAGCAGAAGGCCAGGACTCATTAGTCCCAACATTCTCCCCATCTCAATGTCTGATTGTTGTCTAGAGACACTTTCCCTTATGTCATCCCTAGAGTTAAGGCTAATTATCAGTTTTCTTTCACTGACATTTCAGCGATTGTATTTATAGTCATTGAACGCTGTCTTCGATATTCTTGCAAGTAGTTTACAACTTTTATTTTCAATTTCTCTTCACCAGATGCCTTAAATCAGCATCAGCCAGAGTTGAGGGATTATAGCTTACTAAGAATTGTACCATAATGCAGATGTATGTGGCCTTCTATGTAACCAGGAACATGCTGTTATGGCAGAAACAGAAAACAAGCAAACAAGAATGTCACAAAGACACCACCTCTCTCATATAGACACCAAAGATGAAGTTGAGGGTCAGAATAAATTATTATATGCCGACTCAGAGAGATGCCTCATTAGGTCTAAACAAACATACATAGGTATAGCATGTATGTTTCTAGCAATATTTCTGAACCATTCCATCATTGTTGGGTTTAGGCAGCTGTCTTCTGTGACTAAAAGACATGGAGAGTTGATATGACTATGTTTCTAACAGGAGATCCCTGTCTACAGTCAATCATGTTTACAGAAGCATATGCTTAGAGCAGAGGTCAGAACATTCTTCTTTTATAGGTGAATTGTAGGCAGCTGCTTCTCATCAGGTCACTTCCAGTAACCCTTTCTCTGGCTTTGTTTCTCTCTTTTTATACCTGCTTAAATATACTTCCTCCTTCACTGTCAGAGCTTTGAAAACACTGTATGAATATCTTAGTTATTTAGTTGTTTTCTAATAGCTTCTTTAAACATTAAATGACATGGGAACTCATGTTCTTGTGATACTCAGTTCTCTGTCTCTGTATCACATATAAAAGTATGTCTTAAATGTTTTTCAACCAGTTGTCAGGCAGAACCAAAAGCATAATCTATATAAATGTGTTTTCTGGAGATCTCCACACCTACACTTCTCTCTTCTTTGGATGTTAGTGCTAACTGTTTTTACAGCTACTCTAATTGCAGACCACAAAACAGTTTAGGTGGTTGAGAGTGAGGAAAATGCCATGACGGCTTTTACACATTAAGCAAGATTCCTGATATGTTGAATTTTTGTTAACCCTTCAATAATTTCTAAATAACTGGAAAAGTTAATTTTAATGAATTTTGTCATTTATTTTTGTGCAAAAGTGGATTTGGAGATTTTTGATATATTGTTCTTGAAATACTGTTGTATTGTGTTCTTAATTTCCTTAAAATTCCAATAATGGGCATCATGTAGCTTGTTGTTGATGTTTCCTAAAAGTGCTTATAAATTTCCATGGTGAAATCATGTTGCTTGAAATTTAAATAACCTGTATTTTAAAATTTGTTTTTATTTTTCCTAACAATAGAGTACTGATTGAATTTTCTTTTTCTTTAGAATGTGATTTGTTCATTTGTTCCACATCAAATTGGAGTATTTAAAGTGAAGCAAGTGATTGAGATTATTGGTCCAGTGGTAGATGAAAATTTACGGTCATTGTCAATGAAACCATTTCATTATATACATTTAGAATTCAACAGCACTTGCAAAGCTTACACTAAGAAAGTCGGGGTGAAAATTAATCCTGGTATGTTATTGTATTAGTTTTACACAACTCTGATGTAATTATTGTTGTTAATATAAGAGTATATGAATCAAACAGGGTAAAAAACAAGTACTGTCCCCATTTATAAAACATCTATCAAAGTAACCTAGAAGGCCTGTTCAAAGACAGGTCTTATATACTAGTACTGATTATGAAGTAGTTCTCTGTCTATACTAAAGATTTACATTTCTGTCATATTTTCAGTAGATATTGTGCTGATATTTTGGGGTGTTTTATACAGATGCTCAAATATTTTATGGTTTCTATGTTGTATTCTTTCTATAATTTTGTTGGCTGTTAATGTAAACTAGTTTTGAATATATCCAAATTTTCTTTGTGCTACAGTTTCATCCAGTCATATATAATGTTTTATTAATTATACCATGTGACCTTGGTTAGTTACATTGTCTTTAGCTGAAAAATACCTTTCACTTCATATGGATTAATTTAAATCTTCAAATTAGCATGCTTATTGTTATGCATACAATTTAATAATATTTATTATTTGCTAAATTATTTTACATAGACCCCTGTATTTTATTAAGTCATTTGTATTTTCTCAATGTGTTTGAGAATTTAGCATGTTAAAATCAATTGCTGTGAAAATTCTATTGCTGTGAAAAGATACATGACCATGGCAACTTTAATGAAAGAAAGTATTTAGTTGGGGCTTTCTTACAGTTTCAGAGGTTTGGTCTATTATTGTGGTAGAAAGCATGATTTATGCAGGCAGACATGGTGATGGAGAAGGAGCTGACAGTTCTACATGTGGATTGGCAGACAGAAGGGAGAGAGAGAGAAACACTGGAATTGGCATGAGCATTTGAAATCCTAAAGTTCACTACCAGTGACATACTTCTTTCAACAAGACCACACCTACTTTAAGGCCATACCCCAAATCTCTGTCAATAGTATCACTCCATAATGACCAAATATTTAAATCTATGAGCCTATGAGGGCCATTCTTTTTTTTTTAATTTATTTTTTCTTGGAAAAAAAATTTCCGCCTCCTCCCAGCCTCCCATTTCCCTCCCCTTCCTCCCACGCCACTCCCTCTCCCCCCACTCCTTTCCCCCTACCTCTCCAGGCCGAAGAGCAGTCAGGTGGAAAGTCCAAGGTCCTCCCCCCTCCATTTAGGTCTAGGAAGGAGAGCATCCAAACTGGCTAGGCTCCCACAAAGCCAGAACATGAAGTAGGATCAAACCCCAGTGCCATTGTCTTTGGCTTCTCATCAGTCCTCATTGTACAGAGAGTCTGGTTTTATCCCATGCTTTTTCAGTTCCAGTCCAGCTGGCCTTGGTGAGCTCCCAATAGATCAGTCCCTCTGTCTCAGTGGGTGGGTGTACCCCTCACGGTCCCGACTTCCTTGCTCATGTTCTCCCTCCGTCTGCTCCTCATTGGGACCTTGGGAGCTTATTCTGGTGCTCCAATATGGGTCTCTGTCCCTATCTCCATCCATCGCCAGATGAAGGTTCTATGGTGATATGCAAGATATTCGTCAGTATTGCTCTAGGATAGGGTCATTTCAGGTTCCCTATCCTCAGCTGCCCAAGGAACTAACTGGGGACCTCGGCTTGGGCACCTGGGAGCCCCTCTATGGTCAGGTCTCTTGCCCACCCTAAGCTGGATCCCTTAATTAAGATATATGCTTCCCTGCTCCCATATCCATCCTTCCTTTATCCCAACCATCCAAATTCCCCAAGTTCCCCCCATCCTCCCCTTCTCACATTTCTCTCCCCATCTCTCCTTACCCCTATCCCACCCTACCCCCAAGATCCCAATTTTTTTTTCGGCAATCTTGTCTACTTCCCATTTCCAGGAGGATAACTATATGTTTTTCTTTGGGTTCACCTTCTTATTTAGTTTCTTTAGGATCACAAATTATAGACTCAATGTCATTTATTTTTGGCTAGAGACCAAATATGAGTGAGTACATCCCATGTTCATCTTTTTGGGTCTGAGTTACCTCACTCAGGATAGTGTTTTCTATTTCCATCCATTTGCATGCAAAATTCGAAAAGTCATTGTTTTTTACTGCTGAGTAGTACTCTAATGTGTATATATTCCACACTTTCTTCAACCATTCTTCCATTGTTGGACATCTAGGTTGTTTCCAGGTTCTGGCTATTACAAATAATGCTGCTATGAACATAGTTGAACAAATGCTTTTATAATATGAAAGGGCATCTCTTGGGTATATTCCCAAGTGTAGTATTGCTGGGTCCAGGGGCAGGTTGATCCCGAATTTCCTGAGAAACCGCCACACTGATTTCCATAGTGGTTGGACAAGTTTGCATTCCCACCAGCAATGGATGAGTGTGCCCCTTACTCCACAACCTCTCTAGCAAAGGCTATCATTGGTGTTTTTGATTTTAGCCTTTCTTACAGGTGTAAGATGATATCTTAAAGTTGTTTTGATTTGCATTTCCCTGATCGCTAAGGAGGTTGAGCATGACCTTAAGTGTCTTTTGGCCATTTGAACTTCTTCTGTTGAGAATTCTCTGTTCAGTTCAGTGCCCCATTTTTAATTGGGTTAATTAGCATTTTAAAATCTAGTTTCTTGTGTTCTTTATATATTTTGGAGATCAGACCTTTGTCTGTTGCGGGGTTGGTGAAGATCTTCTCCCAGTCAGTGGGTTGCCTTTTTGTCTTAGTGACAGTGTCCTTTGCTTTACAGAAGCTTCTCAGTTTCAGGAGGTCCCATTTATTCAATGTTGCCCTTAATGTCTGTGCTGCTGGGGTTATACATAGGAAGCAATCTCCTGTGCCCATCTGTTGTAGGGTACTTCCCACTTTCTCTTCTATCAGGTTCAGTGTGTTCAGACTGATATTGAGGTCTTTGATCCATTTGGACTTGAGTTTTGTGCTTGGTGATAGATATGGGTCTATTTTCATTCTTCTACATGTTGACATCCAGATGTGCCAGCACCATTTGTTGAAGATGCTTTCTTTCTTCCATTGTATACTTATAGCCCCTTTATCGAAAATGAGGTGTTCATAGATTTGTGGGTTAAAATCCGGGTCTTCTATATGATTCCATTGGTCGACTTCTCAGTTTTTATGCCAATACCACACTGTTTTCATTACTGTAGCTCTGTAATAGAGTTTGAAATCAGGGATGGTAATGCCTATGAGAGCCATTCTTATTCAAATCATTATACCAGTTAGCTAGTATATGAAATAATCCTTGGCTAATTCTTGGAAATGAACAATACAAAGGACTAAATACCAACTTACTTTTCAATTTTATTAAAGGGATATCCCCATTGATCAGTAATCCCACAAGACAATTTGTGATCAAAGATTCAGAGAAAAAGGATGATCATCTACCTGTAGCAGCAATGCTCCAGTCAGCCATGACAAACCTTCATAATCATCACTCCAATGATATGTCAGCGAAGGGTGCACTGATTGCCTTTCCTAATGACAGAGCTGCAAGTATCAGGTGTGAAGACCACCATGAACAATTCAGGTAAAATATAATATTAATAAATTAAAATTCAAAAGACATAATATCCAGGATTATGGGCAAAGATCTGACAAGATCCTGGCATTAGAAAAGAAAAGAAAGCTACTGGAGGCAGTAATCAGAATGAAATTATGTTTGTCCTTTTGTATGTGGAGAACAATGGCTTTTGAATGTTTGTGTTTGCCTTATCTAACTTTTTATACACTCTACTGTGTACTTGTGAGGCAATAGCTGGCATACAAAATAGTTTTCAAAATCATATTAGGAATATCAATATATAAACGATAGAAATAATCACTATTGGTATTATAATTAGACTCTAAAATAATTATATTTTTAGTATAATTATGTTTGAATTTATCTGAATAAAACACTGTAACTTGTAAGAAACTAATTAACTGTTATCATTGTCCTTGTTTTCTCACCTCAGAGTCATATTTCTAGTAACTCCTCCCCACTTGATCTAAAACTTCTCAGATTTAAGTTCATAAGGAATGTTTAAGCTACAATTTAAATTCATCATAATTCAAGGACATTACTATGTTAAAGGTGGCAAATACATGACTTTCTGGACCTCAAGATTTTAATATATCCATAAGTAAACAAGGGTTATTTTATGCCAATGTGTATACTAACAATAGACTAACTAAACTTAATAATAGCCCCGTACTTTTTCTACTTTATTTTTTTGGTGGGTATCATTAAGATCATTTAATTTTGTGCCGACATTCCTACTTTACCATTTGATTATCCAGTCCACATTTTTGCTATCTATAAAAGAAAAATTCTATGACATTTACTGACTTTCCTGATATTTTAATTTATGAATCTATGTTTAGTGAAAAGATTCAGTATTCTCTATTTCTTCTAATTCTGGTCATAATTTTAAAAAGATGTATACATATATACATATATGTATATAATATACACATATATGTATATAACACACATACAACACATGCACATAGGTATATCTCCCCCTTATCCTCTTTTGCAATGATGTCTTTGTATACCATAGGATATGCATTTTATCATACTTACCATGTAATGCACTCCACTTGATACTGAAATTGACCAGTAGGTACTTGGTATCGTCTAATCAAACAGGTATGTGTGCTTGTATGCTTGCACACACACACGTGTGTGTATGTGTGTGTGTGTGTGTGTATTTTAACATGATATGTTGTTCACCTTGTAGAACAATTTTCACAAAGATGCCTAGGCATGTCTATGTGGATCCTGATTATGAATACACTGATTTGGAAAAATTGGAAAGGAAAATACATCGAGATTACTACACAGACTATATTAACGGTTTAAGAAATACACGCCTTCTTAAAGAAGCACTGAGGTAAAGATAGTTTTTCAAACAATGTGCCTAAAGACCAGATTTGCTTTTCTTCTTAAATTGATTATTTGAATATAAATTTCGGGAGTACAATACAATGATTGGATATAAAGATCAAATCAGGGTATTTGACATTGTCATCATAAATTTATAGTGTTTGATCAATGTAATAATTGAAGATTTTATGAAGGGTAATGCGAAATTTCAGGACATCTATGCAATGTATTTGGTTTAAATCTGTGTAACTAATGCTTCCTTAACTTTCTTGTCATTGCTTTTAGTGCTTTGTATTCCTACTTACTAGTCTCCACATCTTTTTAGTATTTGCTATAATTTATCTTTTTAATAATAGCCATTTCAGTGATATGGGGTGATAATCTGTGTCGGTTTGATTCTTGTTTTTCTGGTGACTGAAGACACTGAGCTTTAGAAAATAAATTTTATTGGCCGTAGACTTTCTTTCTTTTAGAAGTATACATTCATTTCATTTCATTTGTACACAATGTTATTTGATTTTTTTTTTTTTTTTGATTTTCGAGACAGGGTTTCTCTGTAGCTTTTTGGTTCCTGTCCTGGACCTAGCTCTTGTAGACCAGGCTGGCCTCGAACACACAGAGATCCGCCTGCCTCTGCCTCCCGAGTGGTGGGATTAAAGGCGTGCGCCACCACCACCCGGTTTGTAATTTGATTATTGAGTGGGCTGTTATTACGCTTTTTAGTTATGTGTGTATTCTGGATACATATCTTTTCAAATGAAAAATTTGCATATTTTCCCCATTACAAGAGTGGTTTCTACCTTTTATCATCTTTTTTGCTTTGCAGAAGTTTCTTAGCTGTATAAAGTCCCATTTGTCTGTGCTTTGAGTGTTTATCAAAAAATTAGTACAAAAAATCAAATCTGAAGTTCATTTTATGTTTGTATTGATTATTATGGTTCAAAATTATTCTCCATGCTAATATTAAATTTGTTTTTTATGCCTTAGTTTCCTTTCCATTATGAGTTGTTTTAGTAGCATTTTAATATATATTAAAGGCAAAACATCTAGCTCCTTTTGTAACTTTTGGTAGCTTCCTATTTGCAGTTTTCTTAGTTAGTTTTTGCTAGAAGCAGATCCTGAGGTAGGGATTCTATTGTATGTGATTCACTAAAGCATATTTCCAAGAAAAGCTGTGTAGGATGTTGGAGTCAGAACATAACAAGGGAAGAATTGATGTATTTCAAATAAAGTTTGTTCTCAGCCTGATGCCAACATTTTTTGAAGATAAATGATACCATTGTTTCTATCTTGAACCAAAGAGGCTTTTCTTTTGGTCCAAACCACTCAGTGACGGTGATTTTTTTTGATTGTGACAAAAATATAGGGGTGCCTGTAACTTCTTCTATGAGCTGTTGAAGAAACGTAGAGGCCACTTAGTGGAGGAAAGCATCTTTCAGATTAGTATGCCAATTCAGTTAAATGGATATGGATAAGCCTATAGCAGTGTTTTTCATGGAGGACATTTGCACTTATTATTGTATTTTGTGAACGACTTTTCCTCTATCAGTGATTATTATTATTATTATTTTATCATCATCATTATTTTTATAGGGAACGCAGGTTTCCAGTAAGTGAAGTCGATATAGGCATGCTGCCATCATCTGGTATAAAGTCACCATCATTATCTCAATCAGAAATCGAAGAGATACCTTCATCTTTAAAGACTGTTTCCCTCAGAGCTAAAAGATTGCTAAGCACCAAGAAAATAACATCCAGGGAGGCAGAATCTCTGCATAGAAAGGCATGTGCATGTTTTCAAATTTGTTCTGTAGTGAGAATTCTAAAAATAATTCTTACTAATATTGAATGATTAATTTTGGAAAAACAGATCTCCAGAGGACTTAAATCGAAGCCAACCACTCACCAAGAAAAGCGTGACTGCAGCAAAGTTTTGACACCAAAGCAAATCCATCAAGTAATTGTTGGTAAGATTATACAGAAATTTACTACACTCTTTTGTGTGTGTGTGTGTGTGTGTGTGTGTGTGTGTGTGTGCTGGTTTTATTTATATAAAATATTTGATTGCATCCACCCCACCTCAACTCCTTCCAGGTCCTGCTTACATTTCTAACCACCCAATTTTATATTATATTCTCATATTATCTCACTTTTTCTCTATTTCTCTCTCTCTCTTTTCCTTCCTTCCTCTTTCCCCCTCCCTTTCAAAAACAGATTTCAAGATGGTAGAATAGGAAGTCCATGGCTTATTTTACCACACAATATTAACTATGCAGCTGTTCTTGGACAAATGTGTCATTGTGAGAGCTTTGGCCTTCAGTTCCTGTGAAACCCTATTATGCCTAAAGACAGACGAGGATCAATTTTACCTGATAGTTCTGTCAGGCTAACTGATTATAGTCCTAGGTTTAAACAAAAAAATAGCTTTAGCAGCCTCAGCAGCAGTCCCCAATCCCAAATTAAATTTATTCTTGTCATCGGGGCCTATTATACAACATGGTAACTGTAATTTAAAAAGATACATGAAGCTGTGTCGTGGTGGTGCACACCATTAATCCCAGCACTTGGTAGGCAGAGGCAGGCGGATCTCTGTGAGTTCAAGGCCAGCCTTGTCTACAATAGCTAGTTCCAGGACAGTCTAAAAAGGTACAGAGAAACCCTGTCTCAAAAAACCAAAAAAAAATGAAGATACATGAATGTTGCTGACACTGAATTTTTGAATTTTCTTATGCCACTGTACACAGGTACATGAGGTAATACATATGCTAATTACCATTATTTAACTATTACATAATGTAGACATAGCTAAAACATGGAATGGATTGAAGGGGGTGGTAGAAAGGAGGTGGGAGGAGAGAACAAGAAGAGGGGCACATGAAACTTTGGTTCGTAGGTAAAATAAAGATTTAATAAAAAAGATTAAACTAAAATGACACAAATTTAGTATATGGCTAGAGGTAACCCATGAAGAAAAAAAATCTCACTATTTTTTTCCTGAAAATATAAAGAACCCAAGACTAGTGAATAGATTAGGAGCCAATAAACTATTTAAAAGAGTTGTATTCTCATGAGTAATACACAAAATAAAATTATTTTAGTTTTCTGATTCCTTATATAGTCACATACAAACCAATAATGTAATTTATGTATTTTACTCGTAGGTATTTATCCAAAAGAAATGACATTGTATTTCAAATCAGTATTTGTTATCTAAAATGTATAGTAGCTTTTTAAAAGTAGCTAATAATTAGAAACTAAATATTAATGAATAGGTGAATAAACCAATCTTAAAATATATACACAAAGGGAATATGTCCTAGCTTTATTTTGGTTTTTAGGATTAAAATACCCTGACAAAAGGCACCCTAGGGCAGAAATCTATTTTTAACTCAAAATTCTAGGCTACATTGTTATTGTGGAGAAGTCAGGATAGCAGGAGCTCAAGACAGCTGGCTACATCAGTGAAGAACAGGGAGAAATGAATGTTTACATGCTTTAGTGTTTAGTTTTCTTTCTCTATTCTTATACATTCCACAACTTTAAACCAATGTATGGATCCACCAAGAGTGGTCAGCGATGTCCATACCAATCAAGATGATAAAGATAATTCTTCATAGAATTTTTTTTTTTACTCTTTTGGGGTCTGCCACCCAATTCCCAAATAAATACACTGAGACGTATTCTTACTTATGAATGTCTCATATTAGCTCGACTTGTTTTTAGCCAGCTTTTCTAACTTAAATTAACCCATTTCTCTTTAACTAAACTTTACCTTCAAGCTTTTTCTTTCCTTTATTCTATTCATTATTACTCTGTGGTTGACTGTGTGACTGGCAGGAAAATCATGAGTACAAAGTTAGCTTTGGTTATACAGTTGAATATTGTCTCAAAACAAAAAGGAGATTATGTATAATTATTATACAATATATATGATACAAAATATATACATTAAATTATAATTAAAGCTTTTGGCTATAGAAGAAACCCTTAGGAAACAAGTCATGGAACTGAAAATAGTTTTTTTAAGAATTAGATATTGGTAAATAAAGTAAATGTATTCATTGGTGAAATTTTGGAGATTAAATTGATGATAAGAATTTTATTGTGATTATTATCTTACCGTGAAATTTTTCATACTAGAATATAGTCATATTGAACATGAAGCAATAATCTCTAAACATGAAGCTTTGGTATGATCCATAAAAGCATGTTCATGTCTGACATTGTACCAAATAATTTTGTGATATTATACTATATAGTTTTGTGTTAATTTTAGACAATTTATCTTACCAAAATAAAATCTAAAGACATAGGAAATGAAGGAACACCTTTGTAAGAATTTTACTTAATAATCTACTTTGATTATTTCAGGACCATCTGTTCTTAACTTTGGTAATATTTGTGTGAAATCTACAAACACTCAGCTACTTCACATTGTTAACATGCTGCCAATGTATATATTGATACAGTTAGATATTAATTTGGAAGAACTTCGGAAAACCAACCAATTTTCCTATGTGATTCCACCTACATCTAGTACATATATTTCGATGGTATTTGAGTCTTCTACCAACGGGAAATTTTGGAAGTAAGGTTTATTTCTCAATTTTTACTTACTGGAGTCATTTATGGTATTAATTTACTTCAATAACTGTAACATAGATTATATTTTATTCCAAAGTATAAGAGGTATATAATATGCCTCATTTTGTATACGTGTATGTTCATATAGTTCAGTGGTAATCTGATTTTCTCCATCATTATTTTCTGAATCAATTATATATGGTAATCTATAGCATATATACTTTATATGTATCTGAAGTCTTTAATTATAAATAGGTACTGTGCTATCTGTTAAGTTTGGGAGTTTCTATTCTGTTACAGATCATTTACCTTTAGAATTAACAACATACCTGGTGGACATATCTTAGTAATGGCTGTCATCCTGCCTGTAAAACTTGAACTGTCTTCTAATGAGGTTGTGTTGAAACCCCAAACCTTCTTGTTGAAAACATGTTTTCGGGGGACAGTCAGGCTATATAATCATCTGAATCGTCCTGCCCAATTTGAATGGAAACCAGTAACTGAACTGAGAGGAATTGCATTTAGTATTCGTCCAGCCCAAGGTAATCATATATTTTGTTTTTATTTAGAAATTAATTTATTCACTCCTGAATTCAGGCATTAATAACTTACTGATCACATACTATGTACTTATGACAATAGCATAGAAGTAAACTTGATACTATCATCAAGAGCATTTATTTTTAAATATGTAAATATGACTTGAAAATAAAGATCCTGTGTTGAAGTTCTAACAGAAACACATAATAAGAGCTATATAAAGATGACAATGTTAAGTTCTTGGTTAACTATATGGCTTAACAAGTTAGAAATTTACTAGACAAGATGGGAGGATAGATACCCAGAGAAAAAATGATGGTGTAGTGTTTAGATCAAAGGTAAGATTAAATTTTAGGGGTTCTAAAACCTCTAAGGCTGTCAAATTGTTGATTAATATCCACTGACATTAAATGTAATCTGAATATACATTTGCTTATGAAAACTATCATACAATATGGATATGTATCAAATTAGAACATTGTATGACTTAAATTTATACAGTTATTTTTCAGTTAATTATTTTAAATCTACTAACTTATTCACATCTGAGTATTGTCAAGTCTATTATCTTGCTTTGTGTTTGAGCACACAACTGAGTCCCTCAGTCTATACAATGTATAACATTAGCCATTGAAGATACTCCTAAAAAAGTCACTGCTTTTTATATTTTTAGTATAATTATAAGATTATTTAAAGTGACTTATGTTTTCTTAGATTTTGAATTATTTTAAATTAGTTATAGCTAGTCATAAGTACAACTAATAAAATAAATTCAGTGCAATTAAAAAATTAAAACTGTCAGTTATTAAGAATACTAGTATAAGCCAGTCTGAATTACTGCTTTTGATGGGGCCCTGAAATAGTTACCCATCCATTTAAATTTGAGTATGCTATTTCTTACAAAAAACATTTCATGTATTTTTTTTATTATGTAAACCCAGTAACTTCTAAACTGTGATTTATCTAGTAGCCTATCATCTTTTGCAAAGATCATTGTGTTGTGCTGTGAGGACCTTATAAGGACAGAAGGTATAATTTAAAAAGTATATTGAAAGTTACCAGTTGATCAATACTACCTTTTCATTCTATGTGCTTATATTTCTGCAGTGAGATGGGAAGATCTGAATCTTTGCATCTGCACTGACTTACTCTGGTGTTTTTATAACCAGTTAAAGTCTAGTGCTCCATGAGTGCCAAGTAAAATAAATATTAAGACTGATCTTAGCTTCTCACTTATTATTTTTTTTTGTGAGCAATTTCCTCTACATGTGCTACTATAATTCTCTCAAAGGATGGTAAATATAAATAGATAGGAATATGATTGAAAAATTCTTATTTTTGAACTTTTTTATTTGAAAGTATTGCCAGCTTATCATATATCTTGATATTTATTTCTATTTTCCACTCCTTTCTCTTCTTTCTTCTTCCTCTTAAATTTTCTCCTCAATGTCTTTAGTTATAATTTAGAAACAGTTGTTGTTTTGAATGTAAATTGTTTTTGATTATATAATAGAAATATAATAGTTTCTTGTGATTACCAGACAGTTTAAAATTGTTCATACTGGAGTGTTATAAATTAATCTTAACATTAAATTTAATTTATTGGTATTGATAAATTTTAAAATTGAAAAAAGAGCTTTCTCTATAATAAGGTTAGACAGAATTCAAGGATAAAGTTGTTGAAGTGTCTTAATAGCCTGGAGTTATTTAGCAAATTTCAGCATAATTTTCTTTTATTGATACTTCTCAAATTCATTTGCAAAAACTGTATTTTAAACTGTAGTGTTTGTAACACTGACTTCTACTGAGAAGATAAAGAAGAATGATAACAAATTTCTATTTCAGAGATACTCCATAATCCCTTTCAATTTATTTCTACAAAGATATAACAGTTTTAGATTAGCTATAAGTAGTCTGACTATAGGCTTTGATCAATTCTCTTAGTTTTCATTAATGGTGCTTAAAAAGCACAGTGTATTATGCTTTTCCAACTTCTGTTATTTCTATCTTAACTATGACTTAATTGGCTGTCCTCCATGGTTTTGGTGGAAATGCAGTGATGACACATAGTTTGAATAAAATAGAAGTAGAATTGCAAAGTTACAAGTGTCATGCTAGTTAAGTTTTGCATGATCTTCAGAATTCTTTAGAAAGGAGATATTGATGTTTGCTTCTTTTGTTTGTCCATGACTTCTTTCATATGTTTTTAGACAAACTAATTATTATAGCATGCAGATATTAAAATGTTTAATTCTAGATAAAATTTTATTTAAATAATATAATTAAGTTACTTAAAATATAATTTTTAAAATTGTTTTGTCTAAAATTTAAGAAAGCATATAATATTTGTAATCATATACATGCATTTTAATAATGTTTTCCTCAGAATATGCATGCAGTGATTACTCAGTTTTATATTTTCAGTGTTTACACTTTTATGCAATTTTTATTTGGCCTCTTGATATCAAATTTAGTCATTTACCCTTCTGTCGTTGTTTTGTAAAGTGATGTGAATATTGTTATATTAAGATTTGTTCCCAAGACATTGCTATTGTTTGAGTTGGTATTTGGATAGGGAGTATTGTAACAAGGAGAAAGTGAGACTGAAACGCTGTTTTCTGAGATAGAGTTCAGTTTTAGTTTAATTTTTCTATGTGCTTATTTAGTTTATTGGCTTTTTCTTTGCCAGTACAATGACTCAATACTTGAAATTGTCTTCAGTTAAGTCACTTGACTCTTTCTCAGTTTTCTTCACTGAGCAACATTCCCCAGCAAATCTCAACTCTCAAAATACTTGATTATATGACTTTAGATATTATCTGATATGTACAGTATTCTTAGAAACTTAATTGTGTTGATTGGAGGGAGGAATTCTTTTCACATAAATACATCAACATGAATTTGTAATCTTTTTTAAAATCTTATTCCTCTTATTCTGTTGTATCATTGAATCTTAGTTATTTATTTTCCATCACAGCTTTTCCTATCCACTACTTTCTTAAGTATAATGTGGTGACTTCTTCCTGAACACACCTCTCTGTCTCTTTTCTCATTTCTATCAGGACTTTCTTTTTTTGTTGTTTACTGGCAGCGTGATCTTGACAGATCTTTATACAGCAAACACTTCTATAACCAACTCTTTCATGATTTATGGTTCATTATTACAGTATATTTTCCTCCAAGAATACTGAAAATCTGCTACTTGGTGCTTTCTGATTACCTCATTTTATATCCACCACTTATATTGAGTTTTCATCTTCCCCCAAGGCCATTGCAAATTCAGAGGTCAGTTTTCTTTTTTATTTATATAGCATTTTTTTCCCTTTATTTTATATACCAAACTCTGTTTCCTCTCCCTCCTCTACTCCCATTCCCTCCCCTCCCCGACTCTCATCTACCTCCCACCCCATCCACTCCTCCTCCATAAGAGGTCAGCATTCTATCTCTTCATTTTTTAAGACTGACAAAGGCAAAGCAAAACAAAACAAAACAAAAACTTGCACTGCATGCAAGTTAAACCAACCCCAAACTAAATTTGTTTGTAATGGCCCCTCTTATCTCCTTTAGTGTCCTGTGTCCTCAAACTTCAGAGACTCCTTTCTTCCTGAGGAATATTGTCAAACTAATTTTTCCATCTGGTATTCTTGCTTTTTGATTAAATTATTCATTTTTGTTGGTTACTTTTATGTCCTTGGCAAATTTTGTCATCTTACAAAGTTCCAACTCATCCATGCTTCATGTTAAAACTCACATGCAATACAATGAAGTTTTCTCTATTTTCTTGGAATACTTCACATTTCCCCTCATACCTTCTGCTCTCATTTTGAATTTTTATGCATCATTTCCTTTTGAAATTATGAATTTCATTTTACACCTAATGTTTCTGTTCATGGTCTCTCTTACATCATTACTTTTAACTCCATCAGAAGTTAATCTCTAAAATCCATAATAGTAATTCTTCCTTCTGAAAGTGTAATATTTGTTTATATTGATAATTACTTCACAATATTGAGAAATTAGAGGAGATAATTTTGTCTGGGTTCACAAAAAAAATTTCTATTGTCTGTATATCTCTAATGCTAATGTTAATTGCTGTGATAAACATTCTGTTGTTTTTCAAACATTGGCATATTTTGGTATACATTTCTATTTTAACCTATGATCAAATTGATTTTAACAAAATCTAGGACTGTGTTCATTTAATAATGCGTCTCTTATAATGTCTCTGTTATTTAAATATAGTTTTAGTTATATAATGCCTTCATATTTTACAGTATTTATCCTAAATATTTACAAAATTAAAAATGAAAATATCTTGTCTTGTAACGGCGTAAATGAATGCAGACAGAGTGTAAAAATATATATATATAGCTTTAATGTAGAAATAGACTTACAGAACCACCGTTCCCGCGGAGACCAGGAAAGCAGAAGCGAGAAGCTCGGAGCTTGCTCGCCAAATTTATAGGCAGACATTAGCCCGAGGCGAACACGCCCCCTAAGGGGCGGGACTTATCCCTACATCTCCCCTTTTTGTCTAAATAAGACAGAACTAAACCAAATACAACTCCATACAATAACAACAAATAATAAATATAACAAACAATATTGAGAACAAAAGCTTTGCTAAACATTCTATCTCAAGGAGTCCAAATAATGTAAAGAGTAACTACAATTATATAATCTTCAACTCAGTCAAAGATCTGAGAAGGGAATAAACACTACTCAACAAACGAGATATATCCAAAATGTGCAACAATTGACAGAGACAACTGACTACCTGGGCAATCACCCAAAGTCTCGTTTGCAACATTGAGTCAACCAATTTTGGCTAAGGCCTAACATAACTGACATACCATTATTAAAGGCAAGGAACTTTTCAAAACTATCTTACCCTGTCTTGGCAGGATATGACAGTCCTGTTTTATCCATTGATGCACGCTCTGTATCTCTGTCAGTGGTTGAGGTATGGGCATTTCTTTGCCCAAAGGCCAGTTCTGCCAAA